TTTTCTTCTCTTTATCTCCTGGTTTTTGTCCTTCCCCCGACCCACATTTCTGCATATGTTTCAATCTCATTGATTGATCTCCTTTCCACCCCGTCCCCTACTTTGTGTACTTCCCCCTATTTTTTTTTTCTTTGGCTTATTTCGGCACTGCCACGGCAGGGACCCGCGGGCGCGTGTGCGCCGTCTACGCAGGAAGAAGGAAACATAATACTTTTGCTTTGTCTCTACCAGAGCTCTATGTATATATGTATATCTGCCGAGTTGGTTCGCAGCGTCCCTGCCCCACCACCCTCCCCCCACTGCGGCCCCTCCAACGCGATGCAGCGGGAGGGGCCGCAGTGCATGCGACGTTTTTCCCCTTTTTTGTTGTTATGAACATTTTTGGTTATTAATACTATGTTTTTTTTTTTCTTGATTTGCTTTCTCTCCCTCTCCCTCTCCCTCTCCCTCTCCCTCTCTCTCTCTTTCTCCTAGGTGGTCGCCTGACATTGCGGTTGGTCTTGCGTGGTATTCCTATCCCGTTTGTGCCTGCCTGTAGATACGCAGACACACACACGGGCAGGTTGAAAATCTTTTTATTTTGTGGTAGCTGCGACGCACAGGCATCCCGTGTCTTGTGGGAGGCGGGCGCTTGGCGGTAGTGCTCTTGGGTGTATTAATTATATCGCGCGTGCCTCCGCATGGTGGCCGGCCTCTCCACCTCGCCGAACACAAGCAACAACGGCACCGGGCTTGACACGGGACACAGAAAACGCGGCATCTGCGGCGATGCCGTTTTGAAGGATTACCTAAACACTTTGCCGGCTGACTTTGAAGGTGACGCCTGCCCCCCACTCACTGATGACAACGAACGGATGGAGCATGAGCTGGCGAAGCTCGACCGCAGTGGCCTCACGCAACGCGTCGCAAGCGTGACGCGGCGCTGCAACGAGGCGCTGATGGAGTTGCTTGAGCAGGAACAGCAGATGGGCAACAGGCTCTCCGAGGTGCGGTACCTGGAGTCTCGGCTGAGTGACCGGGAAGACGAGGTAGAGATGCTGCGGTTGCAGTTACAGGCGTCTGACGACCACATAGAAGGACTGCTCCGCGAGAAGGCGGATGTCTTGCGAATGCTGACTGAATCCAAGAACGAGTTGGCACACGTCAGCGCTAAGGCCGCCAGTCTGCAGCGGGACCTCAACGCCAAAACGAAGCATGAGAATAACCTTCTGAGCCCTTTGTGGAGCACACCTCGTGCTGCCTCGGTAGATGTGGCGTCTCCTCTCCCTGCCTTAATGGCACAATCCTTGTCTGAGCAAAGGGTACACTGCGGCGGGAATGGCAGCGGTAACGGGGAAAGTTTGCAAAATGGATTTGCATTGAACCGAGCTTTACGGGGGGAGGGAGCTTCCGTATCTGAGGTTGCAGGGGCGGTGCCACCTGTGGCGTCTGACCTCCAAAGGCCTGCTTCTCGGCAGGCGAGCTCACACGTAGTGGGGCCGTCTTCTGCAGGCGTTGTGCAGGGAATTGAGGCAGCGCAAAACGAGGGAGTCTGTTTGCACAGTAGCAACTCCGAAAACGTTGACTGGCGCAAACGTTGCCTTGAATACCAGAAGCGGAATGAGTTTTTAGAAAAGGAACTTACCAAGACGCAATTTTCCAGCAGCAGCGCTTCCAAGGAATTGACTCTAGATTCGCTTAATGGTGAGATGTCGCATGCACACGTCTTTGTGCAGGAGCTTCACTCCCGGCTAAGGCGCACTATGGAGAAGCTGGGGCGGGTAGAGAGAGAGCTCGACGCAGAGCGTGAGCAGAATCGAAAACAGGGAAAACTGGAGACCCAGCTGCTGAAGGACGTTGCTCTGTTTGCACGGAAGCTGCGGAACCACGAGAATGCAGAGAGCGAGATGAGGGCCCAGCGTCGATTGGATATGAATCTCACCCGAGAGGAGTTACTGGATGAGTTGGGCCGCTGTCGCTCAACCATCAATGAGTTGAGAGCGCGTATATCTGCTTTTGGTGCGGATGAGTTTGCGCAGCAAAGGCAGCAAGTGAGGAACGAAGCGAGCATAACCGAAGAACTGGCGTCCGCGCTTGAGGAGGCTCTCACCGCGAACGAGGTTCTGCGTGCAGAGAAGGAGGTTGCGCTTTTGGAGAAGAAGGCGCAGGAGGAGACATATGAGGCGGAGCTGCGCAGCCGCGTTGCTGAGATGGAGCGGTTGACTGCTGCACTACACGAGCTGCAGGAGCATGTAAACGTGCTGGGGAGGCGGCGCTCTCTCGATGGGGGCTCGCAACGGTGATTGATAGCGGAGGGGCATTCCGAGAGGCCGGATGGGTGGCGACGCAGCGGGATGTGAGAGGGCACCGACGCCATCTTGACAAAAAGGTGGTGAAACTCCACGGAGATCTGCTCCTGTGACTCTTTTGAAGATGCCTGGATATATATATATATATATTTGTGTGTGTGTGTGTGTGTGGTTTGTTCCTTCTGCTCATATGGCTCAGCCGCCGCCTGGCTCTCAGTCTGCGCTGCATGCGGGATCGCGAGGAGCAGATAGTGATGGGGCCAGTGATTGCGGCTGCGTCGCACTGTGTGGGCGCTGGAAGCAGCCTAAACACACACACACGCAGACACATGTAACGTCAGTGAATGTGAGCGGAGGGTATTTGGGAGGCGTCTGACGCGGCCTGCGGAGCTGGCATAGACAGACATGCCCAAGGGAGGGGGGAATGGAGCGCCAAAAGGCAAAATGATCTGAACCTTTTTTTTTCTTTTTACGGCCATGATGCGTGTGTGCGTGCAGTTTTCTGCTTGCGTTTGCGGTGGAGCAGCGACGGAGCAAAAAAAAAGAAAAAGAAAAGAACAGAAATAAAAAACACAAACGGAAGGGAGAAGAAGTCATGCATTAATGCCCTCCCTCTCTGCTTGCATCTCCACACGGCCTCAGACCGTATTTTTGCTTCTTTTTTTTTTTATTAGGAGGAGGACATACAAAACAAAACGTAAACAAATGAAAAGGAGAAAAAAGGAATGAGGGGAAAAAAACGTCGATGGTAAAGGCTGCAGCAGGTAAAGAAGCGGGGCTTCATTGCCTTTGGCCCACTCTGAGAGCCCCTATTTTGTATTCTGCGTCTTTTTCTTTCCCTTTCCGTAGTGACACGCGCATTGACGAGTGCCTTCCAGTGGCAACACAATAACGCTTTTCTTCCTTCTTTGAGTGTAAGAGGAGGGTTAATGGGGACCAAATGTTAGCGAAAGAAAACAACAACAAAAAACAAAAAAAAAGAATGAGATGCGAGCGAAGAAACAATGGGCAAACGACTGGTTTTTGCCCACAAGCGGGACCAGCTGGGGGACGTTTTTGTGTGTGTGTGTTTTTTTTTTCTTATTAGATCCCGAAATGTACGGGGCCCCGTGTGTGTGTGTGGACGACATGCAGCGAAGGAGTGAAGCAAAGCAGCAAACAAGCAAAGAACAAAAAAAAAATACAAGGAGCGGCATGCGTGGGGTTGGGGCCGGGCGCACCACGTTGGGGTGATTCGTGCACAGCACGCTGCTCCAGCAACACGTTTGTTTTTTCCTGGAGAAAAAGGGCGGGGTGGGGGATGGAAGGCAACGGGCAGGGGGTGGATGCCGCATGTTGAAGGTGTTTTTGGAAGGCAGGCCAACCCAGGCAACTGTGAGCCGTTGGTGGTGGTGTCACGGCTCGCAGCGAAGCTGTCGGTGGTGGCATTAGTTGTGGTGCTTAGGTTTTTGGCCGGCCTTTCCGGTTCTCTCCTTTTTTCTTGCCTTTTGCGACTCGCAAGTTGCCAAGGTACTTATGCCCTTCCCCGAATTTTTGTCAGTAGTTTTCTTGTGTTTTACCGGCTGTCGGCGCTCTTGCGGCGTTTTTTTTTTTTGTTCCCTCCTGCTGTAAAGCTCTCCTTTTTCTTTTTGGGACCGTTTCTTTCTTTATTTTGCTCTCTTTTGCAATGCGTGTGCATCTCACTCTCTTTTGCTCTGGCCACTTATGCTGCAGACAGCTTTTTTTTTTTTTGCGTGGTTCCCTTTCTTCTTGGGTCGGCTGTTGTGGGGGGAGCTGCGGGGCGCGTAGAGGACAAGGGGGAGGCGGAGTCTGCATGTATTCCCTGCGGGGGGCATCACGACGTGAGGGGGTCTTCTGACGCGCGTGAATTCCCTCCACCAGAGAGGGGGAAAATACCACAACTTGGCCTGGCCTTCATGCATGCAAACGAGCCGTTGAACGCCAGTCTCCAGCGACTGCTGCCGGGTCTGCAGAATAACGCAACGGGGCGCGTTTTTGTGGATGCCCTGCTAAGGTGCTGCCACGAGTGGGGCGTTAGCGCGGAGGCAGAGCTGTTGCTTTTGTTAACAAGCGATTGCCCGTTCGTGCAGCGACACATAGCGACGGTTGTACAACAGGAACAGAGGAAGCAGCCGTTTTGTCACGCTTCGGAAATTCAGCATTTTCTTCAGCAAGTGCTGTTGGCTCTTAGCACGCACCATCTCCTTCGGAGGCATAGAATAGACTCTTTTGAGGTGCCAAGTCTTGACGCCGGCCTTGCATCGATATCGCGAAGTGCTGAGAATTTGCTTTGCACACCGGCTACCGAGGGGTTTACGCCGACCAGGGCGATGCACGGCGGCTCCCTTTTCTTCACCACAGGGTGCCCATCTATAGACCACCTTCTTAGCGGCAGTAGCTGCGTAGCGGGGAAAGGCGCGTCAGATGGTGGGTTTCGTGCTGGATTTCTGTCCGAGGTGTACGGTGAGGCTGGCAGCGGGAAGACGCAGCTTGTTCTACAGAGCCTTCTTCAGTGTGTTGCAGAGCACCTGTGTGCACCGTGGACGCTGACAAACACACTTGCGCGTTGCTCTGGTAGATCCACGACGAGAGGAGTGACGGCACTATATATTTTCTCCGAAGACTTTCCGGCGACTCGGCTTGCGGCGCTGGCGGAAGGGGCTGTGAAACGGGCGAAGCAGAAGGTTCTCCGCCTCTCCTCGCACCTCCCGCCAGCGGCCGTTGAGCGACTCAAGGCGTCTTTGGAAGGGGCGGTGACAGCGAGGTCGGTTATGACGGGGCTACACATTCGCCGCATGAGGACACTGAAGGATCTCGTTTCTCTGCTCCGGGACGGCACCTTGTCGAGTGCGTTTCACGCCGCGGGTGGACGAGGAATGGTGGCAGTGGACTCCATTGCGGGGGCGGTTGCCGCAGGTGATGGCGGGGGAGATGAGGTGGCGGCGGATGTGATGCTGGCGGGGACGTTACTGAAAACGTTTGCGGTGCAGGAAAACGCCGCCGTGCTTGTCACCAATCAGGTTCGTGCGGTGCTCTCCGGTGGGCTGCGGCAGCGGCGCGGTGGAAGTGACATGGTGGTTCCTGCGCTCGGGATGCAGTGGTCCTTGGCGCCGCATGTGCGTATTCATCTTCAGCGTCTTCGAGGCGCGGGAAACATGACGCGTCGGCAGCTCATTGTGCTCTCCGGACCCTCAAACCCACCTGTGTGCGGTGGATACACCATTGATACCGATGGCATTTGCGGCGATTTATGAAGCGTCACGTCAAGATTGCCGTATAGATGGGTATACCCATTTGCATTAAATGTAACATACACACAGAGAGGGCGTGCATGTATTACTGCGGATGGAACAAATCCCCGCAACGTGCTGGCTCACGTGGACGCGGTTTCGCATGCCTTTTTATATGGAGTGGTACCAGGCGCTACATAAACTGAGCTGCAGGTGTCGAATAGAGTTTTACCCCCTTTTTTTGTTTTTGGTTTTGGGTGCTGCTTCTGGTTGCGGCTCTGGAATCTGGCGCGTCGGACTCTTCAGGGTGCGCGTGCCACTGTGCCTAACTCTGCCTCTGTTGATGAGGGCCACTGTGTGCCAGGGATGACACGCTGCCGCCCGGCTTCTGTAGCAGGGAATGGGGGGTAGCAGAGGTCATACAAATCGTGTGCCACTAGTGACAAGGAGGAGGCACGGGATGCTCAAAGACCGCGGCATACACGCATTTCTGGGTGTTGCTAAAGCCCGGGCTGCGTTACGCCGTGCACGGCGTGTCGACGAGAAATGCCATTCCCCGGCCACCTCTCCAGTTGGAAGGATAACGAATTCGACGACTGTGCGTTGTTAAAAATGTCTGTAGCTGCGGCGGGCTTTTACCGTCACAGTCGTTACATGTTCTTTTTTTTAAAAAAAATGCTCGCATTACTTCTTCTACAGGCCTTTGGCGCAGAGACGCTTTGCCACGCGTGTGACCGTTGATGGTTCCCCCGATTTTGTGGTGTCGGTTGGCTGCTTGAGGGCAAATGGGTTTCTTACCTTTGCGCATGCATCTTTTTCTCTTTTTCCTAAATTTACTTTACAGTGTAGTGAGGAAGTTCCGGGTTGTCGTTTTCTCGCTCGTTGTTTGCGTGTGTGCAATTTGTGAGGGAAAGGCCCCCCTCTTCCCGCGTGCGCTTATGCCTTAGGATGTGGGGGTTATTGTTACTGTTTTTTTGCTGCGCTGCTGCGTGTTGGCCGACGTTGTCTTATGCGGCGGAAGAGGAGGGGACAAGCGGCACTGAACTTCGCCTGGTTGCCTTTGGGGACATTCACGGCGACTTCTTTCGCTGTCGCCAACTGCTGCAGCTTGCAAACATCACGGACACCAAAGACCGATGGATTGCTGGTTCCTCGATTGTCGTTCAGCTTGGCGACATCGTCGATCGTGGGCGACATCCCCACGAGATTTACGACCTCTTTGCCTCCCTGGAGCAGCAGGCGAAAGAAGTGGGCGGGGAATTTATTTTTCTTCTTGGCAATCATGAGTTGATGAATCTCTTGGGTGACTTCAGCTATGTGCACCCCGACGCGATGGCTGCGTTTGGCGGAGAGAGGGCGTACGCCGAGGCGTTCAGCCCACAGGGCGCTTACGGATCGTACCTCCTGCAGCACCCGGTGAGTGTGGTGCGCAAGGGGGTCGTGTTTGTGCATGCGAGTATTATGCCGGCGTACGCCGCGAGGGGTGTGGAGTATCTCAACGCCATGTTCAGTGACCACTTTTCCAGCGAGCGGCATCCCGCTGCCGCCGAAGACACGGACAAAAACAGAGAGCACCCGTTTATGCAATTGGACAGTCCTTTGTGGGCTCGGGCCATGCTTGCTGAGGCCATGGAGGGCAACTGTTTTCTTCTGAGAGAGTCGCTGCGCTTGCTTTCATTGCAGGAGGTGTTGTTGGGCCGCTCGCCCGTGCGTATGATGGTTGGAGGGCACTCCATTCAGGGGAATGGAACCATTTCGGTGGAGTGCAACGGCAGTCTTGTGGGGGCAGACGTGGGACTGAGCCGCTTTATTGACCGCCATGGTGGGTACGCGGCATACGTTGAGTTGGTACCGGACAAGAGCAACCCACAGCACCGCATCGCATTGCCGCAGTACCCGTACGGCAAAGGCGTGCTGGCGCCTGCGCCGTCGTTGCTCAGCGCTCCTGTGCAACCGCCACGGCGCATGAAGGCAGTCCGGCGGCATCCGCCGTCAGTAGGAGGAGTAAACCGTGATTTGGTAGCTCATCTCCGTGCAAGGCGGGGAAAGGACAGTGTCAACGCCGAAGGGATTTCTGCGCTTCACTGCCAGCTCTTCCTCGTGCTTGCGTTTTTTTGTCTTGTTTGCGTTGTGCGACTGCGGTGGAGGCGATCGATGATCAGCCGACGCCGCGGTGTGTGTGGGTCTTGAGGCCAGGCTACATGCCCCTTTTTGGTGACTTTCTGGGGTGAAGCGGCGACGCAATTGCCATCCTCGTGGCTCGCAATGATTGTGTATTCCCCTCCCACTCTTCCCACCATCTGGCTGAACTGGCGACAGCCCAAGACAAAAAGAAGAGAGAATTGTGTTGTGAAGCAGGTGTCACAGCGGTTGGCGTCTTTTTTTTTGTTTTCGTTTTTGTTTTGTGCTTTTGCGATGGGGAAGGGTTAGGGAGCCGTGCCGTATGGGGCCTCTCTTGCTTTCTGTTGCGTGCGTCTTCGCCTCTCTCTTTCTTGCGGGTGCCCGCCGTGTTGTTTCGTGTGCATCTCTCTTTTGGGATCTTTCTGCTTCCTCCTCCACCCCGCGGCGTCACCCACCAAAAGGAAGAAGGACATCACTGCATCCACCCGAACGGTGCAGCTTCGCATCCGACGGAAGAAATGCTCTCACAGAATGTCGCCAAGACGACGGTGCCGTCGTACTACATGATCCGTACCAACCTTCCGCAGCGCAAACCGCAGAACCAGTGGGAGGGGGTGTATTACTTTAGCGGTATCACGAAGCGGCAGCGTCACCTCGTCCTGCTTCAGCGGAAACGCGAGCGGGAGGCACACATGCGGATGTTCAGTGCCTCCTGTGGCAACATACTGCGGTTGTTTGAGAGGGGCTTTCAAGAGCAGCAGCAAACGGTGCAGGCCCCACAACTTTCCTCACCGCATGGTCAGCTTGATCTCGCCATCCGTTTGGCGCAGCATGGACTCTACCAGCAGGCAAGCCACATTGTAGATGAGTTGCACCGACGGCGTGCACTCGGCGTGAATCACTACGGTCTTCTCATTGATGCACTTGCAGCCTCTTGTGTGGGGCAGCGCATTTTGCATTGCAGCGCACAAGGCGACCCCGCGCTCACGTACAAGTTACTTGGAGACGAAAATGGCGAGGAGCGAGCACAGGAGGCGCACCGGTGGTTTGACAGGGCGTTCGCACTGCTGACTGCAGAGTGCCGGATGGTTTGTGGTGGGAACTGCCCACCGCAAGCCACGGCGGCTGCCACGCATTTGGTGAACGCACTGATGCGTACACTTTTGACGTGCGGGTACACGCATGTCACCGCTGTTCCAGACGCGGTGTACGATCGCATGGGGATGATGGGTATTTCTCCCACAATTAGCACCTACGAACTGGTGATACTCGCCCTATCGCTGCAAGGAAATATGCAGGAGGCAGAGAGCGTCTTCTCGTTCCTTCGTAAGCACCATAATGAACACGTGACGGTTGGCAGCTTCAACGCACTTCTTTTAGGGCATCGTGAGTGCCGGCAATTTGATCGGTGCGACGCCATTTGGCAGGAGCTCGTGGACCGCCGTTGGCCCCGAGCCAACGTGCTCACGGCCGAGCTGTACCTCCGAAGCATTGTAGATCACTCTTACACACCAACGAGTGAGCCGCTGCAGCGCTTTGGGAATATCAACGTAGTTGAGAAGAAAAAAGTGCCACTGGTGTTAGCGCAGATGGACGATCTCGGCATCCCCCGCGCCCACCTCTCGCGGCCGCTAATGGATGAGGTGGAGGATGCCCTGCGTAAGTTCTGCATCTACAAGTCACGCTTCTACGAATGGGGTCGCGCGGTGAAGCAGTTCAACTTCATTGAGTTCCGCCGCCGCAACGGGTGGATGTACGACCTGCACCTGATGAAGAACACCACCAAGCAGGTGGGACCGCTGCGCGACTTTAACCACCCAGACGCCGCGCAGGTGGCGGCAGCGACGGTGGAACTCCCCGCGTTCTTCAACGACCGTCAGGCGTGGGAGCGGCCACCGCTAGAGGAGACGCTGTTCGTCACGGAAACACAGGAGCGCTACGATGACGTACGCTCAGGCGACATCTACGAGGATCGCACCCGCAGCCTGCACGACCGCTCCCCAACGTGGATGAACGAGGTGCCTGAGACCCGCTACGATCGCCTGTACGGTGTGAATCACCCAGACATTGCAAAGATTGGCATTCGACGACACTTGAACGCGGAGTACGTGAACCGCAAGGAAATCGTGGAGCGTGACGCTGCTCTTATGAAGAAGAATTTGAGCAGCGGCCGACGTCTGCGGCGCAAGGTGGAGTCCTCTCGCACACATCGCAACGCTGGCTCACTGAGCGGTTCCGCTTCTACCTCCGCCTCACGGTAGACATTGGGGACTTCACCACCTCTCACACTTTTACACACGGAGCGGCATACCTCCATACATACAAAGTTACGACGCATACGTATGTAACCAAATTAGCAACAGAGTGGGGAGAGAGAGAAAAAAAAAAAGAAAGAGAGTTGGTGGAGACTTGTGTTATCACCGCCTTCGCCCTGCGTCGCGTGTGAGCCAGGACATTTGTTTGTTGCTCGTTATTAGGGAACTAGCTTGATGCTCCGCGTTGAGAGACATCAACAACAACGACTCACTGCGCATGTATGCGTATATGCATGCAACCTCCGTTGTGGGGGTCTATTTGTGTGCGTGTGGGGCGAGGCTATGCGCCGCCGCTCCCTTCGTTGTGGTAGTGAGGACTTTTTTTTTGTGTGTGTCTTTTTATTCTCTTCTCATCTCCTCCCGCAGTGGTTTTAGTTATTATTTGACGCACCTGCCGCGAGGCAACGGTGTTTTCGTTTATCTTCACTACAAAAGGGCACAGTTGATTTGATTGTTGTTTTGCTGCAAAGGAAGGAGCAGAAATAAGCTTTTTTTTTTTGTGTGCTTCGCCTTGTCGCTTCTACACGCAATGGGACGCGGCAAAGGAAGAGCTAAAGGCATTGACGTGACGAAGCACTTCTTTCAACCGTCAGGCCCCTCGGACCGGATCTTGGTGCAGATATCTCCCTCGCAGACGGTCTACGTGACCGAGGAGGACCTGAGCCCAACGCAGGGGAGCGAGGCGGCGTTTGCGCTCAAGCGGGAGGGGCGAATGGAGAACCCCATTAAATTGTGCGCCAGCTGGAGGCAGGGCGCCTGCCTTAGCCACGCGGCCTGCAGCAATGCCCACGTGGTGGCTTACTTCAACCACCCCGCAACTCCCATGGGAGGCGGAGACAACGGCGCCACGACTCCGGGCAGCGTGCTGCGGCGGCAACACGACGATGCCAACCACTCCGCCGTGCAGCAGCACCAAACCCACCATCAGCATAACTTCCATGCGGGCACGATGGCAGGCGAGTGCACTCGTGTTGTGGAGCACAAGAGCCCAGCCGCGACAACGCACAGCACACTTATTCCGGCACCGAGGAGTCAGCAGGCGAACCGGCAGGCCTCCTCTTTGGCGGCCGCATCTGCGACTGTAAACTCTCCGAGTGCGGCCATGGCATGGGGCCGCAATGTGGCGGTAAACGGCAATCAACATGGAAGCTACCAGTCACAGCGGCAACAGCAGCAGCAGCAGCAGCAGCAGCAACAACAACAACAACAACAACAACAACAACAACAACACACACGCCATCATTTTCCGCAACAGCAGCAACAACATGACATGATGAAGCAACAACACAGTGCGCCACAGAGTAGAGGGAGTCGGGGGAGTGGTGGTCATAGGGCTCACGAAGACATCAATTGGGTATCATCCAATAGAGCAATAGGTGGGATACTTTTAGATGCTGCTTCAACCCAACATTCAGGCAAAACTGAGGGAGGGCGTGTTGACATCTCCGCCGTGGCTGGCTTCAGCAGCAGCAATAACAACAACAACAACCCGAACAGGGCGGATGGGACCAACTTCACACCTTCTGATAGTCTTAGCGGCACCGTCGGCGATGAGAGCTGGGTAGCTTTGATGCTTTGTCAAGGCTCCGTGAACTCGGCCATCTGGAATGACGGATTCGGGGGCATATGGGATGTGTCACCTAGTGCAGGGGCAACCACGACGGCTAGGGCGGAAGCAACTACAGTGGAAGCCGGAGACCCCCCGCTCTTTATGACTCCCGAGCTGAATACGATGGCTGCTATCAGCACACAAGGGGAATTGTGGGGTTCCCTCAGCGGCAGTAACGTTGAGTCCGCGGCATCAACCAGCAAACGTGCTGGTACATCGTTTCGTTCAGAGGCGCTCAAGAGTCAGTTGCTGCGGGAGCTAGTTGGGGCGGAAAGGGACACCACTGAGCCAACCGCCGCGGAAACATTGGTGAGGAACAGCACGAACCAAAAAATTACTACCCCCTCAACCCCTCTCTCAGAGGCCAAAAACTCGTCGGGGCTGCTGCACTTGCTAGGAGGCGACGACTGTGATGCTGGTTTTTTCGGTCACCCAGAAAGTTCCGGCTTTCTCGCATCTGCATCGAGCCGCAACGCCCATACAATCCAACACCTCATGTCGTTACTCACCACAGAGTGAGATATCACAGCTCGTGAGGCAACGTGAGGGACGGGAAGGAAATGAGATGCGGGGGGACACTGGAGCCAAAGGCGAATGCAAAACAGACAGAGAGAGAGAGAGAGAATGGGATGGATTAATAAATGAGATGGAAAGTAATATATATATATATATATATATATATAA